GAAGTTGCAATATAGAAACGACCAATGATATTAAATTGAATTCAGTATGCCAACATAGACCAACATAAAAATATGAGAAATGGGTTAGACCCACTGGGACCTGGCACCTATATCCTAACTAATGCTTGATTTATGCAACTTCACAGGCTACTTCTTGTGGTAGTTCATACAGAAACTGACGTCTGTGGGTTATTTAGTGTAAATTTTACAATATGACTTGATCTTCCAAAATCTGCAAAGACCAGTGACAACCCAATAAGTGCCATATTTATATTTTTCAACAACGCACATGAAAGGCCAAAATTGATATCTCAGTAAAAGTGAGCACTTGTTAGTCTTCTGCTGCACACCGCCTTGAAGAAAATGCCAATTGACAATCAGCTTTGTAAGGTTAAGAAAAGTGGTTTTAATTAAGAAAACTACCCGACCCCTCAATAAAAATTGATTCAGTATCCCAACAGTAAATTCACAGTTACGTGACACATTAATAACGACCAGACAGAAATTTAAAGAAATTAAGTGAAGGAGACTAAAACCGCCATATTCATTGGGAAATAGTCAACTCTGCTTTTTTTTTTAAAGAAATCTGGCCGTGCAGAGGCAATAAAGCTGCCTCAATACATTACCCATGAGTGCTTCCACTCGCACATTTATCATGACCAGCTGAGAGACTTAACATTATGAGAACATTATATCCATTTGTTTACCTTTTTTTATTTACAATTAACACAACGGCAAAAAGAGGCTTTTTAAATCAGCTTTCCTGGTGAAAGTAGAGGGATAAGGGAGCACTAAGTACAGTACTTCACTGGATATCGTATGTGTATCTAGAAAGGCACACGCACTGCTGCATGAACCGTGTTTGAGCCTTTGGAGGGGGGCACTATATATGTTAATGTCACTGAAATGGTCTCAAAGTGTGTCAGTACCTGAGAGGATCGTCTGAGTGAAACTTTCTAAAAATGTTTCTTGAAGAGAATAAAAAAAAGAAGCTTGATCATCAGAAGGATTGAAGAAATAAGAGGCAAAGTGTATCAGAAGAAAGTGAAATTGTAGAGTAATAGTTTCAAGGGTTGCATGAGGTTGTTTTGAATGTGAGGTGGAGGAAGAGGTTTGGATGTTTAATACTTTTATTTTCTCTTCTCTTGTTGTCCGCTTTGCTCTTCTGAGCCTTCTGCCGTCTGAGTTTGTGACTGAAAAAGGAAAAGAAGCGAAAACACTGGCAACAGCAGACTCTGTGCATTGCTCCGTATCCAGCATCATTGACACTAAATTAGTCAGCCAGTAAAGAGATTTAAATGGAAATGGCAACATTTTGGAATAAACAAGCCCCCCACTCTTTTGGTAAAATTAACATACGTCATGTATCTTTCACGCTTCTCCTACAGGTTACACAGTAAATTCTGCTTCTGTGTTAATCATCAACAGTGGACACCCCCTGTTCGCCAACTCTGCAGTATCTGATCGTTTAAACATGCTAATTGTATGATAATTAATTGTCCTGTTCATTCATAATTTAGCACACGATTCCTCACACAGAAATCAGCATTTTTGAACTGCAAAGCACATCTCACCTCGTCTTAGGTGAGGAATTACATTTTTTAGCTAATGGGTGTGTCATTTATTAGCACCCTAGCACGCACACACATTAGTAAAGTGTTAAATGGCACATTTTCCCCCAGGGAATCTGTTCCAGGCGGAGAAAATGTCTTTTCCTGTAGTTCAGTGAGGCATGGAGAACCTGCTTGTATGTGTGTGTTCTTGTGTGTGGATCTGTGTGTCTGGGCTCATTAATCCCCATCCAATCGGCCATGACATGTTCATTAGTCTGCTGCCCGTTTGCATTGTTAACGCTAAGCCTCAGCCGGAGCTATAATATGTGTGTATGTTTTGTTATATGTGTCAGTGTATGTGTGTGTTTATTTGCATGTGCGAGCTCATAATAAGCAGGAGTCCAGAGAGAAGACGCCTTTAGTTGTTAGAAAGAAGCAGAAGCCAAATACACAGAGACCAGGCGGGAGATAAGTGTGGGAATAAAGACATGCTTAAAGGGTGAATAGGAGAAGTTGAAGCTCCTATTAAACTCATTAAACATTAGATGGCTTGCAAAAGAACACGAACACACACACACACACACACACACACACACACACACACACACACACACACACACAAGCACATCCTCAACCTCCCACTTTGAAACACTGCAGAGTCACATTAGAGTGGTTCCATCATTCTGGGTTGATTGCTGTTTCATCTCATTTATTTTGGGACCTTTTTCTGCTTGTTGTTGAGCCTGCGGCAAAGTAAACACTACAGGTTCTGTCTTGAAGTGTTTTTTTTTTTTTTTTTACTTTACCAATAGGTCATGGAAGCTTTTGATTACAAAGTGGTCATAAAAAATGTATAAATACAAGTTTTTTGACAGCAAGCTTGTGCAATGTTCCTCCACTTCCCGGTCAGGGTTATTCCCTGTTGGGCTCATACATCATCGTCCTATTCCCGGTTGCCTTTCTCGGCTGTTGTGATCTTGTTTGGTTAATGTGTTGGTCCTTTAAAAATCCCTGGTCTCTGCAGGATGCTGCTGCTATGGTGTTATTCCCCGCTGAAGAGAAAAAAGTCGATCTTACTGCTGTGTCGCATTCTGGTCTGTTGAAGCTGCTGTGTTTGGGACTTCACTTTCTGTGGCTCCTTATATATATTGGATTTCTCCAGGTATAGCCCTCTTTACCTGACTGCCTGTGTGTGTGAGAATGTCTTGATGTAACCTTTTGTTCATCCCACTGATTCAAGAACACACACAGCAGAACAAAGTAACCTTGAAAGTCAGGTACAAGAGTTAGATGAGAGGATCAATACCATTCTCATGTCTGTATGTTAAATATGAAGCTACAGCCAGCAGCTGGTTGGCTGGAAACGGAGGAAAAAGGGGAGAAAGGGGCTTTGTCCAGAGGCAACAAAAGTCACATATCAACACCTATAAAGCTTGTATCGTGTTTGTTTAATCTGTCCTAAAACCAAAGTGCAGAAACATAATGTGGCCAACAATTTCTTGGCTGGAAGCTGTGACTGCACCAGGATAGCTTTTCCAGTATTTGTGCTAAGCTGTTCCTTCAATACAATTATCTTTTTAATGACTGAAAGTTACTTCCACGTTATTCCGGTTGCTCGCTTTATTTTATGAGGTTGTGTAGAGCACTGAAATAAGAGACGTATCCTCCTTCCTTGTATTGCTAATCTCCTTCTCGTTCCTTTTTTTGCTCACTTCCTCCGTCTATCTTAAATTCTGTTTCTCTGACTTTCTTCCATTTCTTTCTTATTAGGAGCAGGTCTATCTGTCTTTTTTTTGCCTTTCTGTACCAGTCTCCTCCCTTCATAGCTGTATTCCTTCTTTCCCAACCTCTTTCATTTCCTATTTAAAAGCCATAACAGCATCCTTTATTTCCTCTGTTCTTTGTTCCTTCCCCTTTCTTTCTCCAGTGTTTCCATATTCTCTCATTTATTTTCCATGCCATTCTCTTGTTCAGCCTATTTCCCTCTTTAGTTTTGCTTTTGTTTGTCATCTCAGTTTAGTTCAGTCGATCTTCGAGGACCTTTCAAAGCCCAGTTTGAGTGCACCATGCATGGAAAAGGAAGCCTTCTTTCCTTTCTTGCTTTCATTTCCTCTGCCCCTCACTTTCTCTCTCGGGGTTCAGTTTGTGTGCCTTCAGTCGTACACAAGACGGTGAAGGTCTTGTAAAGGTTGTCCTGTCATGTGTCTGTCTCTCATAATTTCAGGGTGGCATTTTGCCTTTAGGGTTCACACAGTATTGATTTGCTTTGCCTACATCCTCCAACTTGTATGCACAGACACACCAGCAGGGTTTTGACTGCCTGAGCTGTTTGTGAAGCATAGCAGCAGGTTGTTGAGAACTGCAAATGCCTCATTATGTAAGATGTGTTTACCAGATGCCAGTCTACAGTTTCGGTTGTCCTCTGCCTCGCTTTTTTTCCTCTCACTCTCTCACTTGCTGTAAGCAAATCATTATGTCTCTCTCTCTATTTATTTCTAAACCATGTTAAAATCTATATATCTGATTACGTCACAAACATTGTTCAGGTGTCACAATGAATAAGTCTGAATTTGTGTGTCATGTGAGACTAATTCAGGGACCAGACTGCACAATATTTTGGAAATTCAATGCCTTAGCACATGGCAGACTACACAACCAGGGACCCACTTTACTGTTCCACCTGACAGCACTAACATCACTCCAACCTATTTTGCTTTGCCGGGTTTACAGTTTATACGTGTAGTACTCCTTCTGTGTGTGTTAAGAGTCATGAAGACGTCGTAAAAGTTGTACTAATCAGGACACTGGGACTCATTCTAGTTCCTGATCTCCTATGTCTGATTAGGTTGGGTCATTATCTGGCTGATGGCGTGTAGTTTGATGCCAAAATTACCATAACCTTAACTACCACATGCTAAAAATGTAATTGTTTACCTTGTGGGGACCAGTGTTTTGTCCCCAGATGTGACATCAGTTCCCGTAATGTGACTGTTTGAACAGATTTCTGTCCCTGTAGTGTGACTGATAGTATTCCATGCACACTCTTGCCATCTTTATCCAATTTTTTAAGGGATATTTGGCTAAAGAGGCAAACATTAAAGTTGCAGAACATGCAGTCACATGAAAAAAGAGAGGAAAATATACAAACTACAAGTTAAAAAGGGGTTACATTTCAAAAGATTGATTTGTAAAATAAAGGAAATTAGAGATTGTAAGACAAAATTAATGAAAATAATGAGCATTTATCATTATGGATTTAAATCAGGAATATGAAAGTGTAGTTACAGTCACATAAAAGGACGTCCACATGCAGAACGCATACCCACAATGCAGTCAGGTACATAAGAGAGAATATTATAGTTTAGTTTCTATATAAGCCCTCCAAAAACAATAAAACAGTTTTCCATTGTCTAACCTGTCCTTCTTTTCTTCCTGTCTTGTATCCAGCCCAAACAGCGCACCTCTCTGTCTTCGTCCCTTGACGTCCAGAGGCCGGTTAACCACAGCTGTGAGCCCAGCGAGGTGAGCTCATCCCTGGGCTACGCCAGCTTCAGCACCAGCCCCCCTGCCAGCCCTCCACTCAGCCCCAACCAGGAGGACTCTGCAGGCTCCAACGACGACTGTCCGCTCACAGGTAAGACTCGGCCAGGAGAGCAATTAGTGGCAAAAGCTGTCTCTTAGCCAGAAGTGAGCATGAGTGTTGGCCCTGCTGGAATACATCCTACCCTGACCTCTGACCTCCATGTGGAGGAGGATCAGCAGAAAAACAAATATCTCCTCAAGGGGAATATCACAATAAAAAAACTATTGCTATCAAGTATCTTTGTTTGCTGCACAGATGCAAAGCAAAGCAATTTAATAAGAAACTTTATGATTATTATTCAAGACAGAGATAATTAGCTTTAAAGTGAATGTGAAATATTCAAATAGAATTTACTTTAAAGAATACTAAGAAAAGCAGCACATATTTAACATTTGTAAAGCTACATCCTGTAAACATTTTCCCTTTATTTCTATTTCAACCCACTAATCAATTCATTGACAAATCATATCATAGGTTGAGTGAAGTGAGTTAATGCAACATGGAAATGTGTAGAAGGTTCCACATGTCATGTATATTAGCCAGCTGGTGACTTAGTAAGTGGTTGAGTTATATCGGTCCCATTCAGTTACGGCATCAATAATGCATTAAGCACACATTTACTCTGAAAGTCAATATATATATATATCATCTGTGTAATACCTTTGGCCTTGTGCATTCATCTCCCTACTTTGTAGTCGACTCTTTCTCAGGCCATTTTGTTTTATTCCTCCTGTTGAAGCCCTCTCTTTTATTCTGCCTTTTGTTGCCTCAGTTCAGGTGTTGTTATAACTCCTTCAGCCGGGAAACCAAATGAAACTTTAATCCTCTTGCCCTGGGTCCCAGGAAATTGAAATCATATTTCTGCTCCTGTCATACTTGAGACCAGAGCCAAGAGGCAAACACCTCAGAGGCTAAAAACAGATCTTAGAAAGAATCGCTGGACTGGTCGGGCTGTGGAGTGGAGAGCACACCTGTCAAAGGGGAATTGGTAATGTGATTCAGAATGTGCTGAAATCGACAAAAAAATATGCTTTATAATACTAGTTCCAGAAATAATTTTGATGTTTTTCAGCCTACAGTGCTACATTAGCCGCACCCGTTCTAATCCAAGGAGGTTGAAACAAGCACCGAGAATAATTCTTCAGGGGTTTGACCTTTTAGATAAAGTCGTCTGGGTTTGACACATGTATGGCCACACAATGTGATTTATTAATTCTAGGCCTACTGGGATATTTGGAGGGTTGAAGAGCATCAGGAGAATTTCACTGTTGAGCAATAGCCTTGTAACAACAGAAAGAGCCAGCTGATTTAAATAGGTGCTTCCTACTCACAGCCACCAGGGAACAAGATACTAGTACCAGTCACAATAGCTCGAGCTGGCTACCTTGCTGGTTAGCTCGGTCTCTAATGGTACAATAAGATCAAACAGTCGATTATAAAGACATAGTTGTCCCTTTGACACCTGTCTGATAACTGTCAACACTCTCCCCTTTTGTGGAACAGTTTATACTCCAACAGTGGAGGTTAAGTAAAAGCAGATGGTGCCACACAGCTGGTAAGTTACGATATCATTTTAGATTCTCTTCACGTTCCCACAAGTGTCAGCACTTGCTGACACTTGCCACTGTTCAACGATGTGAGTTAGCGTGTCAACATCAACCAAAGATAAACACAATGCACGGGATCACCTGTACGAGCAAATCCACCAATCGCAGTGTTTCCACTGAAATAAAGGGAGACATGTTTATTGCAATGTTGTTGTTTTTCAGGTTTTGCGTTAAAAAAGGGACATTCGAAAGGGTTTTTTGAGGCAAAAACTATTCTTAACTTGTGTGTTAGTCTCAAGTCTGTTTGATTGGAAATTAGGATGCAAACAAGCACTTTAAGGGGAAAACTCCACCGGATATCTTAAAAACTAGGCTCCAAGACATCAGCAAAGGATGCTCTGTAAGTCCTGTGGGGAGTCAGACCAGATGAAACACTGTTAGTTTCATCTAACGACATCCCCCTGGTGAGTTTAAAAGTTTCTCCTCCAAAAGGAACATTCCAGCGAACGAGGTGTTTCTCATAAGAATCTCATAATGAGGGCAGTTAAGTCTTAAATCTGAACATATTTTAGTTTTATGTATGTTCATATAATAAATACTAAATAATGCAACCATATTTAAAACTCACTTGCATTTATTGACAGTATATTATTGTATATTAGTGTCCTAGGGGCCCCTCGGTATCACCGTGCCATACTTTGGGAACCACTCAACCTGGTTTACTCCCAACTTTCATTTCCTTTGTGTCATTTCCTAGTCACGCTCTTCATGTGTTACCATAGCGATGAGATTCTTTGTTGTCATGGCGAAGTGGTGGCCTTGGAGATAGATTGCTGGTGACGTGGTCGTGAATACTTCCTCTTCTCTCACCTGGGTTTCAATCCAACTGTCCCTCACACCCGCTGCTATCAGGCACCGACAGAAGAGGCAAAGCAGGGGAAGTCGAGCAGGCGGGAGGCATTTTCTGTGTGTGTGTGTGTGTGTGTGTGTGTGTGTGTGTCTTTCATCCTGGAGCAGTTCAGAGGCCCGGCTAGACTTTGATCTGTGTAGTGCCTGGGACGAAAAAACACACTCATTATCAATCCACAGGTGCATGCACACACACATACACACGCACAGACATAAAACTGAATGAGCCGTCTTTATCTGTTATTCTCACTGAAGCATTGCCGTGGTGTTTATGTAACAAGAGTGTGTTATTTCCTTATTGAACCTACATATAAGTGGTTGGGCCTTGACACTGAGGTCCTCTGAGGACAGAGACTGAGGAGCAGTTGTTGATCACGCTGTTGAAAAGCTCTTGTTTTTAATTTGTAACACGCTAGCTTTACTTACTGTATATCAGAGTAATTTTAGAGAAGGTTAAATTGTGGATGCATAAGAATTTCATGACTTTAAAGAAGATGTTCATACTTATTCATGGTCAGATTTCTCATTATTAGTGATTATTAAGGATGGTTATTGGATTATATTAAATACAATTACAGCATATCAGTATTGATACTTATTGGTACTCCTTCTAATTTTGTTATTTACTGCTAATGATATAAAATGGGCATCAGAGCCACTTTGGAAAGCTTGGAAGAAGTAGTGCCGAATTATTACCAGAACTTTACGCAAAATGTTACACACATGCATTTTGTGTTAGCTATATACATTTTACAACATTTTAACCTGTCTGCCATAACTTGGTCACACAATTCTTACAAAACACATATAGAGAAAAGCTTTGTTAACAGCAGTGGAACTGAAATTGTCTGCCTTTTAAATTATTAAATCTAAATAGTTATTGAAGCACCAGCAGCCCAGAAACCTGTATTTCAGTACTTTTTAATTTTAATGTTGAGGTCGAAAAGATTCTTTAGACTTTCTTAAATCTTGCTTATGTTTGTTAAGTGCATCTTTGCTTTCATTGTAGCCTGAAAGCATCAAATGTGAAAGTAACAACTTGCAAATCAGTTATTATTTCTCTTCAGTTTTTTAGATTTTCTTCAATCAAACCACCTTGTACATTACTACATTACATAACTAATACATAATTGGCAATGTTTGAAAGGTTCCTGTAATATTTGCTTGAGGAAAATATGACTGTTGACACAAACATACTACACTTGAGGTACTGGAGGAGAGATGATCCTCTCTCGTCTTCTCTGTTGATTTTATTAGGAAAAACAGGTAAAACACACATTTACATTAAGAAATTATAAAGCCCTAATAATGTCTGATCACCACCGGTATAGCAACACATTATATAAGCACTACAGTACATTACAGGTACAACTTATACTGTATTTTAAATATATGTACATCTTTTTGTTTCTCTTTCTCTATATGTATCTCTCCCTCCAACACCAGCAATTTATTGGCACAACATTTTATTTCCATTTAATTTTTTCTCTATTTTTTCCCCCTCCTCCTCCTCCTCCTCCTTCTTCTTCTGCTACTCTGCTCATCCCTCCTGCTATTTCTACTTATTAGCTTTATAAGGCCCATTGTGGGGTTGCCATGGTAACAAGTGGCTTACAGAGAGAGAGAGAGAGAGAGAGAGAGAGAGAGAATATATGTATGTGGATACAGAAGGCAAAGAGTCGCAGAATTCAAAGGATGCCAGTGAAAAAGAGAGTGGGTGAGGTAGAGAGAGAGAGAATGAGAGTCTAATGTTGGAGGGGGGAGGAGGAGGAGGGGTGATGATGAGCAAAAATCTGAAAAATGAAGAGAATGAAATGTGAGATTTCACGGGTTTGGATAGAGAAATGAGGACAAGAAAGTGAAGGGAACACCCCCCCCCCCGCACACCATAAAAGGTCTTTCCTTCCTTCATCTCCATATCTGTCTCTCTCCTTCTTACTTCTCTCATTTTCTTCCTTAAAATCCCGAACCATTCTTTGACATCAACCTAATATTTATACAATAAATCTTCGGCCCTGCAGCAGAGTATGCAGGTGTCAGCCACCTGCGTGGGCAGCCAGATAAAAAGGAGGCCTATTTATAACCCGATCCATCACTGGTGCTGCAGTTGATGTTATGGAGCTATGGTTTACGTAATGTTGGACATTGCTCGGGAAGATATTCCCTCAGTGCCCCACGGTGCAGAGTGCCAAGTGCAATGCAGTGTTATGCAAAAGCAGTGCAAGTGTTGACGCAGTTGTCCTCCATGAATTATGCAGTGCCCCCTGCGACAAGTCAGTAACAAAAAGGCACACATTTACAGGTCTATAGTTATTCCTCTGGAAGTTGTTAAGAGTTCATAGCTTCTTATATGCATCATAATGTAAATGCGAGCACAGAATTTACTCGTAATACACTGTATGTTCCATATTGCACAGTGTTTGTGTTATTTTTAATGTCATTTAAAGGGAAATCCCAGTATTTTCTTGTTTTTGTTGATTATGACTATTGGTTCATAGTAAGATTTAAAGCTGCATTTCTTTATTTTTATATAAACAACGGTCCAAATGACAACATGTAATATAAAAGCTGTTGCTCGTAGTGATTAACACACAG